GAAAATTTTCTTTCTCACATATGGGCATTTTCAAAGTGTGACTTTGAATTCCCATTAACATGGACCTGAAGGCCTGTGCTAGTTATATTTCCTAATGTCCGCGTTGCCTTTATTGCATGTATATATACTGACAGTCAATAAAAACGCATCATTTATTTATCAAATAATATATTTGTTCCTTTGGCACATTAAGAAAATAACAGTTTACGTGTGAAATATGACCCATTATTCAGTTACACAAGGTGAAATAAAGGTCAGAAAAGATAATTAAAATGCAAGGTCACGTAATCAAATCTCTTTGGTTCCGCCCATCTTCCAGCATCCCCAGGGCCCGCAGTCACTCTTTCAGTGTCAGACGTGGCATCACAGAACTTTTTTGTCATGTGTCACACTGGATTTGGTGACTACCTTAAATAGGCTGAATTTATTACCATATATTGAACCTGATTAATTCACACCAATCACGAGTCAGGAAAAACACATGATATTGTAACAGCTGGTCACAAAATCACTGAAGCGGAAATTTTAAACATCCGAGTGGTCAGTCCACTCTCTTATGACCAAACAAGAGCATTTGTACTCGTTTAAATGGTTGGAATCGATTCTCGGTAAAAAAAAAATACAAGAAAGTTTTCTGATGCGTTTTCATTGACTGTCAGTATATGTGTGATGATTATGCTGTGAAGCATTATGCAACACTGCATCAAAATAAACAAAAAAATCTTATTTTGTGCACTGTCATCGTTATTATCTGCTTTACGTCGGTACATATGGCAGCTTTGCTGCCCTGTTTTTTGGTTGTATTTGCCATTTAACGTGCAACATTTATTTTTTTATTTATTTATATACCAGTAAATCAATAAAATTCATATCAACATAAATATGAAATCTTTATTGTTTTTCAGGACCATTTGATCAAATTGCTTGAAGATGAAAACGCAGAAGATGATGGCGGCTCTAGATAAGTGCATTGATCTGGGGAACAGAACTTTTGAGGATAAAAAACGTTCCCGCAGTTGGTTTTGTCCTAGGTTGTTCTGCGATGCGTTGTACTTGTGAACTAGTCTGGTTTCCCGTAAACCTCTCGTACTAGCAGGATCGATCCAACTCCGAGGGGATTCTCGCTAAATTGGATTCAGTTTAAGCAACTTGTCTGTCACGCCCACTGAAGCTGCTATGGAGGTAATTAACTTTCATGCACGTTTAAACTTAATGTGATTTGGGGAGAATGCCCTCGGAGATGGATCGATCCTGCTAGTACGACAGGGTTATGGAAATGGTCCCAAAGATTTAAATTCTTTTCCTCGCGCAGCAAACAGCGGTCATCTCAACACGACCAAAATGACGCTGATAAACAACCGCACGTCCCTTGGAACATTGATACATATTATTATAAATATCATATTGTCAACTTATCTTTACTGTTTGATTGTTTACCAATTTTGTACAATGTGAAATCTATATTTTGTAAGGTTTCTGAAAGACTCAGCAAGCATGTTTCTCTTTTAAAAGAGTTTGAGTATTTTAAAATAAAATTATTGAACTTCCATGTTTTAGTTTATTTTTATATCTCAAGCGTATATGTAAATCAGGGTCAAATTTTCATCCCCAAACGCCAGAGTCACCTGTTCAGCTGCTGCGAACAATATTTCTGTTTGGCCAGACGAAATTGCTCTGTTAAGAAATATATTTTAATTTTTGCTAAATATTTACAATGCATAACAGTTAATTATCAGGAAAGGCCGTTTTATTTATTTATTTATTTATTTATTTATTTATTTATTTATTTATTTTGGTCAACTTCAAATCCAAAGTATGGGCGATTATAAGCAACATTAAGGTTTTCCTGATGTTTTTCTTAATTGTAATTTTTCCCAAACAACCAATTTTTACTAAATAGATACATAACATTATTTTATTGTAAAATAGGGGAAAAAAGATTTGATTTCCTCAAAATTGGGATTTTTCTTGTTTGTTAACCAACTTGTCCGTATTGCCTTGTGCCATGGCTACAATTTCCCTGTTAACTTCATGCATCCATATCAGAGAACCCAGTCGTGTTTTGTACCAAGTTCAAATAGCCCGCTGTTGCTGTTGTTTCTTTTTTACAAAACAGGTTATTTGCATATTGTCAAAAGTATGTCTGATTACGTCTTTAACCAGGGAAGTTGTGAGTAAACGTAGGCCCTACTTTGGACAGGGGCGGATCCAGGATTATTTGAAGAGGGGGTCCAGAACGACAGGCCTCAGGTGCGAAGCCGGCCATCGTTGGGTTCGGGGCCTGCTCAAGGGCTCCCCAAAAATTTGTTGTTTTGGAGGGCAAACGGTGCCCTTTGGTACAGCTTAGAACTATGATTCAGCTTGTCAAAATTCTACTTTCAAGTGGGAAATATTGGTGTAATATGTTTTTCAGAAACCGAAGGGGGTAGGAAATAAAGTAGAATAGTAATGTATTAGCTCAGAGGATGCATCATGAATGAAATTGCTTGGAGAACGATGTTGGCCAACTGTCGCAATCGATCGCAGATAATCGCCACGGAGTTGGAAAGCGCTGACCAAGTGGTCTCGGTTGTCTCATACGCCGCACATTTTGGTCTTCATCTCTCACAACTGGTCGCCTAGGAATTTGGAGGTTCGAACCCGACGCCAATAAGTGTCTTGTGCTTTGTATCCGAGGCCTGTCATTCCCCCCCCCCCCCTCCCATAAAAAGAGGATCGACCCCCTTTCAAATTATCCTGGATCTGCCCATGGGGCGTATGGAACTGTTTTAACTGTTTTATTAAAATAACTCTTGTCAAAGCTTCGCGACCAGTGACCATAACCATAACAGTGCTTGGCGTAAACCAGGCACGTTCTGTATGAAAATACCCCAAGGAAAAACAGAAAGAGAAAAAAATAACTTAATAAAAATCCTTTTATAAAGTACAAATCTTAACTCCTCCAGCCCATCCTTCATTCCAGCTTTCATAAACCTTATCTATCATCTCTAAGTGGGAAAGCAGAGTTTGATGGCGATCACGTCAGGTCAATTTATTTGGCATTTAAATTGGAAGGCCTATAGCAAACAATTCGGCATTTTGTTCAACGTATAGTAGTAAGTTCTAGCATGTCTCATATGTCACTCCAAGGGATCTCGCAGTTCATAAAAAAGAACTTGGACTAGCATAATTATACAAGACTTTCAAGTTGCTCAGTACATGAAAGCATCTGATCTCGTTACTTTTGAACTCATGACGTGTCGCAGATTTCAAATTTAAGGGATGAGAGGTAATGATAGGGGGTATGCCTGCCACTTGCGCGAGATGAACAATAAAATCAACCAACTAATACCGGAAACCATTGACCCATGTCGCCTTCAAGCCACATACAATCACAAACCATTCAGTCACAAGAAAATTAAAGCATGAACGAAAAGTTGAGGTTTAGTGTAAAGACACATAGGCGACCAAAGCGGAGAACGGCAGAGACATGGAGAAGCACCGGGTGTTTGCTGTCCTTTTGGTGACTTTGTTACTCGTGCAGATGTTTGTTACTACTGAGGGTCATTTTCGTAAGTTACTGCTCTTTTATTCAAGAATATATAAAAGAAAGAACAATAAAAAAATTAAAGAAAGGGAGGGAAAGATGTCCGACGAGTAACATAGATAGTTCAGATCCTCTCCGTTGAAAGTGAGTTTTTGAACACGATCTGGATGGTCAGTAAGTATAAGAAATGACTGTGCTATGTATGAATGGCAAGTTAACCCATAGGGAATGTCCGATTCGGCGATAACGCTGAAAAGAAGAGAAAGTCGTTAAAAAGAGGAAAAAAATCAATCTAGCTGTGGAGAAGAAAGCATGAGTAGTTCTAATAAGGTAACGGTGATGAGCAATTCTCAAAGTAGTGAGGATTTTACGTTAGCACAGCTCTGTTCAATGACTACGGCGCCACATAATATAATTCAGGCCTACCCAACTGCATGTACCAGACTCGCCACCGAATGATCCCGAATTCACCGGTAGATCGGACCACACTACCCGTGTTCAAGATGTGCGTCAGTACGCATTTCACAGTATCCTACATGTACCCCGGAACAAATTTTGAGATGAGATGCATTACTTTCCAACCCCGCTGAGAATCATCACTATCACATCGCGTACTAGGCAAGAGCGGTGTCGCATCTGATACTTAGAAGCGCGTACTGATACACACCTTGAAAATGGTACTGTGGTCCGATCTACCGGTGAATTCAGGATCATTCGGTGCCGAGTCTGGTAGTTGGGTAGGCCTGTAATTAATACTAGCAACAAAACATAGCTATCAGCAACTGTCAAGGTCTTAGTGCTTTAAGTATGGAAAATGTCTTAAATTACTTTAGATCTAAGATATATAGCATCGTTTGTCTCCAAGACACATTTTGCGGAAAAAGAAGAAATATATTAGATATACTAGCAATATATTAGAAATATATTTATCTGAATCTCAAATACAACTGCTAATTATATTATTCTATAGACGTGAAAAGCCACCTGCACAGTAAATGGACAATAAATGTATATGTTTGTTACAGGTGTTGGGAGAAAGAGCAGGATATTAAGAAAAGTCAGCCGCGAACTTATGACAGTTTTAGACGGTATATCGGTATGTTACACTTTACTTTGTCATACCTTTGCTGAGAAACAAACGAGAAAATGAAACCTGTTTTTTATTCTAATTTAATGCAGCTTAATGTTATTTTTTTCAACGCGTTAAGAATAAGCTTCTTAAACACTAGCATTCTTTGTTTGTATACATGAGATATATTGTGTACAGGTACAAATACGTGAAAAAGATTAACGGCTTTATTGTCATTCTTAATAGGGAATAAAACATTGTTTTCCAAACAAGTAAGCATTTATATTTCATTATTGCAGGGAGACATGGCCAAATTGGGGAACATAGCATTAGATGCCGAAAGTGGCGATTAACATGAGATGAGACAGCGTGACGTTACGGTAAACTCTAGACGTAAGGAAGGAAAGTTTATAGCCACACTGTTTTCAAGTACCATCTAAAACAGATCACTTATAAATAAACTTATACCTAGTGGTTTGTTCAAGGGTGGAAAATATACGCCTTTATATGTACTCGTCAATACTTGAGCTGGGCGAATGATTTAGCTCCAATAATGTACCGGTATGAGATGACGACCAATCAAAAAAGTATTTATACTCCGTACTTCACAGAGGATCGAAAATTCAAAATGACCACCAAAATTAAAAGACCTATATACATTTACAAGCAATTAACTATTTTAATATTTAGTATATGCTTTACTCGTTGTAGCGTATTCATCTACATGGGCAGTTGAAAATGTACATAAGAGATGTGATTATAAATCAGTTTACTTTAAAGAAATGGTATGATATGACTACTCATATAAAATAGTGCAGATATTTGGCTGAACCCAATTGCCTCTTGCTACACAATTGTGAAAGAGACCTGTCTTCTATACGTAGATCTCTCTTAGAAAGGGTATTATCTACCTGTTTCAATGCACATCAATGCGAAAACGGCTGAGGGTATTCTCTTTTCAAAATTCATTAAAACATCTAGATATTTTTCTATTTCGAATATTTTTTTTTCAATTATTAATAGGTTCTAAGCTTAAATTTGTCCCCAAGTTCACCATGTCATATAACTCAATAAATGAATTATATAATTACATTTTGTGCTAGTTTGTTGTCTGTCGTAGATTTTTGAAGTAAAGCAATTTCATTGGCAAAAACATATTCCCATTGTAGAGATATACCTATGCTCAATCATTGGCAATTCTGGGTCTGTTGTTCATTTACCATATTACATTCACAAGTAAAAATGACGTTACATTATTTTTGAAATTAGAATAATTTATTAAAAGGTCACTCAGTGCTAAAAGTCACTAGGTCACTCCATTGAAGTGACATTTAAAAAGAGTGACCTTGAACGCTGGTAAGCTTAAAAAGTCACAACACACTTCACAAACGTTATTCTCTAGTTTGAGAGGCGTTTTTTTTTTTTTTTTTTTTTAATATCCAACCTCCACTAAATTAACTCTAATGGCATTTATGAATATCGTCGCGTTAATTTCAAAATATATTTTCAAAATAGATTAAAATAACCAATGATTACATTAGAGTGGTGACCTAAACAGATAAGGAGTAAAATAATCGGTAAGGATAGGTGTAAAGAAAATGAGCCAAGGTATTACTATATCAAATATATCTTCATCTTCAATCGTCTTTGATACATTACCCAGGTATGTAAAACTGCCATTCCATCTACGATATTGCAACTGCCTACGGGCTGAGGATTCCAAAAGCTTGTGAAAAGTTTTAGCTTGACAAAATCGTTAAGACTTAGATTGTGGTGAATCCGTACAATTCCGCACGATTTCGCACTGTCGCCGTCTGCCTCCGCACAGGCACTGCACGAAAAGGGGCATACGTGCAGCGTAAGGACATCGCGTGGCAAATGTATGTAGGCTTTTCTCTCGTGGTCCGCAAATCCATCTATTTTTATGCTCTAAAGTGTCGTTGTATTCGACGGTGGCAATATTCGCATTTGGGATTAAAACTATAAATAAACCAAAAATGCTACCAAATGTCTCGCTCTGACGCTCCACCTCACAGTTCAACGACTCGATCCACAATATACATGTACAGTAGTGAAAAAATGAGAAACAACACAGTTCTAAGAAACAAACAGTTCATAAGATTATTTCAGTGTAATCGTGATCTTTATGCTTACGTAAGTTATATCAGTGGACATTTGGTAATAATCGCCATAAATTGCAAGTGTCTGTTTCAAAGCAAACACTTCATGTTATAAAAGAAAAATATCAAAGACAGAAATTTATCTTGAAAGCCAGTGTGAGTCAAACAGGAATACAAAATAGCGGCACTGGGTCAACCCAACAAGAATAAATAACAAACCATTTTAATTGAGACAAGTTCCAAAACACAATTTTATGAAAAACTGTGTTTACAGCACTATTTACATGAAAAACAAGAAAAAAACGTCAGATACGAGTATTTCCAAACGAAATATGTACGTAACGCAACTTTTGGGGTTGGGGTATTCGGAGCTTGACGAGTTGACGAGGTAGATTATTAGAAAACGCCCACCAGCAAAATTAGTTCAAGACCTGTTTTTGACAATTATTTGACTGACGGTCTCTTAACTGTTACCTTGGTGAAAGTGATTTCTATGACTATAAAGTCATGAAAATGGGCCTTTAAATGCGCCAAAACTGGTTTTAAATCTCAAACAACTTGACAACCAGCACTTCTTGCCCTGCACGGTGTAAAGAGAATGGACATCCTGTGGTGAACCAGTGGACACTGAGTTGGTCTGTTTTGGTTAAAGAAAATGTTTGAAAATTTGTTTAACAAATCAAACCACAAATTGCATTTCTTTATAATTTAAACGGACTCTTAAGTGTAAAGTTGATTTAGTGATTTTTTATATATGTATTTCTAAAATGATTGATGACTGGTTTCTAATCCCAAACAACTATGTAAGCATGTCCTGCGTGGTATAAAAAGGGTGGACGTCTTGTACTAGACCAGTGGACATTTAGTTCGTCTGTTGGTTAAAAAACCAAAACCACATCGTCATGGACAAGTACAGAGTGTTAGCCATAGTTCTGGTGACTTTGTTAGTCGTGCAGATGTTTGCTGATTCTTAAGGTACGTTGCCTTTCGTGTCTCTTTTTCATTCTTATATTATCAAGCAGAATCAATAATTCTTCATATTTCATTTTCATCAGAACATTCTTTTATACCTTACTGTTCATGTTTAGAAAAAAACCTCGAGTGGAAAAGTATATAGTACATATGTTAGACACTATCTACGCTGAAATACGTAAAGACACACTTTAAAGTGTAATCTCTGTAATTTCAGGCTGGGGACGTCTGTTAAGATACTTCATGGTATATTACCACTTCATAGGATAAGAATTACTACTTCATGATAGAAGGCGACTTCATTGGTTAAAAAATAAGGACCCTTAGGAGACTTCGTAGTATATTACCACTTCATGGTACATTGTATCCAAACATGTTTCAGTTCTGGTTGGATGTGGAAATTAGGTGTAAAGGTCGATATGAAGTTTCATTCTAGACCATGATTTCCAGAGTGACGCGTGTATTTGAAATGGGGTGTGTGTGTGGGGGGGGTAACATTACTCATGATAGTGCGTCTTTTATCTCGTTGGAGTTTAATGAAGCTGTTATTTTCAGATGTTCTCGTAGATACCCGTGAGATTAACTTCTATAAATAATGTACTTTATTTCAAGAGCTCCGGTATAGTGACGGAAAGCATTAAGCTAGTTTTTTGTTTTACCCATTTAGTTTTGAGATTTTTCAGATTTCAGGACGATTAAAAACTGACAATATTTGGACGTTGAATCATGGTGGGTCTAAGGCACTAGGTGTATAAAACAAACGTAGTGTATAAATAAACACATTGCCTGCCTTTAAACTAGGGCATAAAACTGACCATGTGTGGTTTGATTGACGGCGCAGGTTTATTGATGTGGCTAGTACACAGTAGCAAGAATGTATGTCTTTCCACTGTAGGTAGAGAACTCTACTAGGCAGAGAGGTTTTAATTTTGCTCCACACTAGGTGTACATTAATATCTTTAACAAACCGTCTATTCCATTATTCGTGTTATAGAAATATCTCTTTTGTAACTATGACATAAATGTTATGACCTCCTGGCCTACATACTTAATGAAAACACTTCTAAAGGTCGGAAAGTCTGAAATCTGAATGATTTGAAACGGTCAACTGTCCAGATAGATGTTGGGGAGAATGAAATACTGGGGATTCATAAAACTGGTGTAGAGTCGCATTTTGCAACTGCAACGCATTTTGCAACCAAAGAAAATCGTGAAAACGAATTTTTCAACCGGAACGCATTTTGCAACCAGAATTTTTCCTTAGTCAATAATAAATTAAATAGCTAGTGTGAAGTTCTATAGAGGTAGAATTGGAATGGGGACGGGGTTGTCTCGGCTAGGTACGCTTACATTGGTCAAGCTTTCCCTGTGGTGGACAATTCATTATATACATACATAATCTATTTCACATTGTTACTTCCTAAACCATCATAGTTAAGAACTTGATATGTCAGGGATTAATAAACCTATCATTATAGGAATTTGCAAAGGCTCTTCGGAATTCAATTGTGACTTGGGGTGTGGTCGACCCTGGGGGTGGTCTATTCTAATTTTTACATCAGTCTAATTGACATTGTTATTCCTGCTGTATCTATCCTTAAGACCAATAAAGCTGGGAACGTAAGGCTATGGGGACTGAAAAATCTGTCTTTGGGGATGTGTATGGGTCCTTCTGGGTTTTTGTGACATTGGGTGTGGCCGTCCCTGGGGAGGTTGATTTTAAATTTTACATCGTTATTCGTGCTTCTACCCTTACGCCATTACAGTTAGGAACATGAAACCTTCCGGGCTGATAAGCTTACCATTGAGGATATGCATAGGTTTCCGGGAATGTTAGTATGATATTTATTGTGTGGCTATCCCGGGGGGGGGGGTTGATTCTGTTTTTCACAACTTTATTTCTGCCATCTATACCCTTAAATTTNCCCCCCCCCCCACCTTGTTCTGGTTCTGGTCCTGTGGTAGACTTAATGGAATACGTGCAAAAATCAATCATTTTTTTAACATTGTTACTAGTAAACAGGTCAATAACCGTCAGAATGAAGTGGATTTTGACTACAAATGTGACAATTGTGCTGCAACGCAATCTGAAATTAATATGACTGAGTACTTGGAACATGTATATACATGCAGGTAACATAAATGCCGTGTATGAAGTTTAACAAGGAGGTATTTTGTTGACAATTAACATACAGATGGTCATGAAAAAATAAAACTTTGGCGTGACGTGAGAGGTCAACGCGTCAGCCTCAGTGCTTACTTTCTGATGACAGCCAGTATGATTAACACCATGGCAACAAGGCAGGTTCCGGCCACGGCGATAAGGATGATCATCCATGTGGGCCAGCGGTCATCCTCTGAGACCTGTTGAATGGGCGGAGGGTCACCTTTGTCGTCTGGCAATTCTGCGGTGTAGTCTGGGCTATTTGAAGTGGTGGGTGGGGCACTCACGCTGTACTTTAACCTAAGATACATAATAACTACATGTATAAAGACTACTGAAACTACCCTACCTGCGTGTAATTGGTCTTATTGATATTTAATTTATCAATTTGCGATGAGATAACGAACCACTAGAAGTTCTTTAAAAGGCTAATGTCCTAATAACAGTTTTAAAAAAGGGTCGTGTAAAATAACATGCAAGTTCTACAACATGAATACAGCGAGGTTGTTATAGGTATGAATTTCACAAGCCACACCTGAAACTACCGTTGTTAAGGACGGAGTCCGTCTCCAGTTTCACAATGGCGACGTGGCGCTCTACCTCGATGACGGCAGGGTTGATGTTTTCTGTGCTACAGTACGGTCCAAAAGTCTGGTTGCTCTCTGGTGTATGGATCCGTACCTGGTCCGACCCTATACAATTCTGAGCAGGGTTGCTGGAGTGGTGAAACTCGTCAAACCATATGTGGAAAAGCATAGGGGAACCTATGCAAAGAAACATTCGCACAGCATTTAACACGTTTTAAAATAATGTCCAGTTAAAGAAAATATATTAGTGTTACATGAAATAAGGGTATCTTTTTTTTATTATTCAAACATGCATATTGTACTTTGTATTCAAGCGAAAAAGACGGTCGACGATGTAGAGATACGGATACCTGTACAGCAGTCTAAGGGAGCGTTCAGATAAACCCATCGTACTAGCTGGATCGATCCAAATCCGCAGGGGCTCTGGTTTCAGTGCAGTCAATGTAATCAGCTTAATTGTCTGACACGTCTCCTCGACCAGCGTGTGTGATCGACTCTTTCACCCCATTTCCATAGATTTTTAGATCGATCTATCCCTGTGGGGAGTCTCACTAGATTACTGTCAGCTTGGCCGGCTTAAGCGTCGGTCCCGCCTACTAAAAGCTGTAAGGGGTAATTAACTATGGTGCCCGCTCAGCTGACTGCAATTTAGCGTGAACCCCCAGGGAGTTAGGTGGATCTAAAACTTAATCCTTAGATCGATCTAAATCTCTGGGAAAGCACCCTTTGAAGCTCTTTCGCCTGAGATGACGTCAGAAGCGTGTCAGACAATTAAACTGATTGCATTGAATGCACTTTAGCGAGAATCGCCAGAGTTGGATCGATCAAGCAAGTACGACAGGGTATATCTGAATGCGGTCTAAGACTCACATGACAACAGTCCCAGACCAAGACCCCAGGAGTTTTAAGTAAGAAAAGTAGGCCCTCACATACAGGGTTACCATTTAATATGGAATATTATTTTTTGGCGAGTAAATTTTCTACAAAATATTTAATTTCTCTCTAACTACTTTAAATCCAAAGCTGAGGTGTCACTCCATGTGTGGCCAGGTGTGTTACCTAATTACCATACAACTCTCGAAACAATTGATGCATGCAGTTGCATGTTCTGTGGTCAGAAATGTGAGGGGTGGTCTTTTCGGCAATTTCTGCCCTTGTATAAAACGCATGGGTTTGGTCAATCTTTGGAGTATGTTTAGAGAAGCAACAAAGGGATCGCTCTGAAACTTGACAGGCGCCTTAGTGAAGATATGGTTCGACAGCTAAGCAACGCAGCTTACTATGGGATTCTTGCACTCAGAGAAAATGGCCAGAAACGGACATCCATTCCCAGGTAATTCAACATTTATCAGGAACCGTTTGTGAAGTCCTCCAAAGAAATTCTGCGACAGGGGCACCTTATCCAATACCTCGACTAGGGTGTCCGCGTATCACACCAAGAAGACAGGATCGCCTTCTCCTCAAAGGACGCCGTGCTGGTCGTACAAAGACAACCAGTGTCCTCAGAAAAGAGAGGAGAAAGTCATACAAACGCCCGTTTCAAGGTCCCTCGTGAACAAGAGATTACTGCAAGCCGGTTATTTTGCACGAAGGCCAGTAGGGAAACCACTGTTAACATATACAGCGACGTCTGCAATGGGCTGGGGACCACGTGCGTTTGCAGCCAAAACACTGGAATCACGTCGTTTTCAGTGATGAGGCCAGATATGGATTTTTTAGGGTTGATCGTCGAATCTGTGTCCACCGACGTGTACGAGGGGANCTTTTCGGCAATTTCTGCCCTTGTATAAAAACGCATGGGTTTGGTCAATCTTTGGAGTGTGTTTAGAGAAGCAACAAAGGGATCGCTCTGAAACTTGAGAGGTACCTTAGTGAAGGTATGGTTCGACAGCTAAGCAACGCAGTTTACTATGGGATTCTTGCTCTCAGGGAAAATGGCCAGAAACGGACAGCCATTGCCAGGCAATGCAACATTTATCAGGAACTGTTTGTAAATTCCTCCAAATAAATGCTGCAACAGGAGAACCTACTCCAATACCTCGACCAGGGTGTCCGCGTATCA